CAGCTTAAACCCATTACCCCTTGTCCTATCGTTACACACCCTTGTAAACAGCCCTTCTCCATCTTTCCTGTAGGCCCCCATTCAGGTACTGGAAGGTTGCAATTAGATCTCCCTGGAGCCTTCTGTTCTCCAGGCTGAACAACCCCAACTCTCTCAGCCTGTCCTCATAGGAGAGGTGCTCCAGCCCTCTGATCAACTTCATGGCCCTCCTCTGAACTCTCCAACAGCTCCATGTCTCTCCTGTACTGGGGCCCCCAGAGCTGGACGCAGTACTCCAGGTGGGGTCTCACAAGAGCGGAGTAGAGGGGCAGGATCACCTCCCTTGACCTGCTGGTCATGCTTCTTTTGATGCAGCCCAGGATACAGTTGGCTCATGTTTAGCTTCTCGTCCCCCAAGACCCCCAAGCCCTTCTCCTCAGGGTTGCTCTCAGTCCATTCTCCACCCAGCCTGTATTTATGCTTAGGGTTGCCCTGACCCGTATGCAGGACCTTGCACTTGGCCTTGTTGAACTTCACAAAGTTCACAAGAGCTCACCTGTCAAGCCTGTCAAGGTCCCTCTGGATGGCATTTGAGCTTTTTTTAATGTAATATCCATTTTGGTTTTATTGTGATAACCCTTAATTTTTGTTAAGATCAAAAATAATTCCAGAGAGGGAAAAAGCTCTCCTGTAATTGCTTAAGTATTGAAGTAAAACTTGAGAGTGAATTACTGTAGAGGGTCAAATCACTGTTTGCATTGCTGTCATGAATTACACTCTTCCACTTTTAACTATCATTAATCTTTCTACTGATCCCTCTCTTTCTTACTGAGGGGTGCATATTGGATGGTGTAGTTTTTCAAGTGACTAGCAAGTGAATGTGAGGTTTCCTATTTGTCTATTTGTTGCTCATTGAAGCAAGGTGAAGCTTTCTGGCCTATGTAACATAACATGGTATAAAAAATGTGCAGTTAAACTTTTAACATTGTAATCCTATCATATTCCACGTGCTGAAAGTTTTCAGTATACTAACTTAACAGTCTTACGTATGCCATGATTATGTTATAAAAAAAGAACTTCTTTCTGGTATTGAATTTAATGGCTTTTAGCAATGTCTTACATTTGGGGTTTTTTGGGGGTTTTTTTAGGTGGTTTTGGTGTAGCAAAGAACCTGTGTTCCTGGGCTGTAGATGGCAAGAACTGCACTGTCAACGAGCACGTGAACTCCACACTCCAAGCTTTCCACAGTGCTAAAAAGCCTATTGGTTTGTGCTGTATATCACCAGTCCTGGCAGCTAAAGTCTTTCCTGGTTGTGAGGTCACAGTCGGCCAAGATAAAAACGTAGATGGAAGGTAAGAAGGAAATGGATGGAGATGATTTATATGAGAATTAGGATTAGGAAATGGCCAGTCTTCTGTGCAAAAGTCTGAGGTTTCTGGTGCCAGTAACCCTTGGGTACCTTATTAGTGACGTTTTTCACTTACTTCAAATTTTCACTTGCATAATAATAGTAGGCACAGAACTCTCAGGGCAGACAGACCAAATCTGTGAGGTCAGGTGACTTATGCACTGCAACGTTGGAAAAATGTATCCCTAAATTCAGAAATACGTTGGGCTGTGATATGTTCTATGACGTCAACATCCACAGACACATTACAATTAATAGTACGAAAACTCTAGGGAGCCTTATTTCTTGCCTAAGCCATCAGTCTGGGAGCCACCAAAGGTAACACAGGCTCCTGCACTGGCTTTATTGTGCAGTGTGAGTGCTAATGAGTCACTGGATGTAGCATCTATCAGTCCTAAAAGTGACAGAACAAAGCGACTTTTATAGAATCACAAACACGCAGGTGACAAAGGATATCAAGTTATTTTTTTCATGTTACATTCACGGTAATTGAGTGATAGATTTTAGCTCATACTAAGTGAGATAACAGAATTTGCTTACCCAATGCCTTTGATTCATATTGGAGACGTGCAAATGAAGAATAGGCATCTGGCCACCTGGCATTCAACAATTTGGTAACCTGTGGGGTTTTGTCTGTTCAGGGATTTTTGATAAAGTTTTTCTGGTGGTAGTAGTTTGGGGCCAGTTTAGGGGAGGCAGATGAGAACATGGCCTGGCAGAAGTCAGTGCTGCTTCAAGGACTGTCAACTCCCAATAAAACTTCTGAATGGAATTTCATATCGGCAGTGGTAGTGAGGGATTGCCTCCACCCCCCTGTTCCTGCTTTATCCTCAGGGAAAAAAAAAAAAATCTCTGCAGAATCCCAGTGGAAGGCCTTACATGGAGGTGTTGGAAAAGGTCTAACGTGTCTGCAAGTTCAGTTGGCATCTCTCACACTTTTGGGAATCAGTCATGGCTGCGCTTGGTATCATCTTGTAAACTTACTGAAGGATTGTTAAAACCAGAATTGTACCTTCTAACGTACTGTGGCTCTGTATTTCAGATGTTTCCAAAATCAGATCACTGCTTGTGTCCATAGGGGATGGGAGAACCTGACAGTGGCAGTCTGTTTGACTGCCTTGTCATCGTGAACTAAAGGGTTGCTTAAATATTATTGTAGTTCTATCATTCAAGTTATGTTGGCAGAACTTTATGGCTATATCATCTCTTTGTGTTAATTATAATCTTTTTATTTACAGATTTCCTGATGCTGAAACTGCATCTGCTATAGCAGAGCTTGGATGTAAGCACATTTGCAAAAATGTAAATGAATCCCATGTGGACAAAGCCAATAAAATAGTTACTACCTGTGCTTTCATGTGCAAGGCTCCTCTGCATGAAATCTTTGATGGAATTGGAACAATGGTACAAGAAGTCCTGAAACTTGCCTGACTGGAAGCTTACAGGCTTCTGCAAGGAAATCAGTTTAGCTAAGCATAAGCATGTAGCTTCATTTGATTGTGTTAATAAAATAACGCAACTATTAAACTTCACAGTTCTTGTTTTGTTTTTTACATCTATAATACATCAAATGGTTATTGCTATGTTTATCCAATTTGTTTCTCTTTTAAATTAGAAAGCATGTGTTGAAAGTTGTTGGGGGGGTCCCCTGTTTTTTCGCATGAAGCTGAACGTATTCAGTCTTGATAAGATAATGTAGGAACCCTCTGTCCAATGGGGTTTTATCTAATGATAATCAGTAACTCACAGTTGGTGTTACCCAGCTATAATTACAGACGAAATAGCTGTAAATGAGCGTGTATACCTTCAGTATAGGTGGATGATTAAATTCCACTTTCTAATCAGCAGGGAAAAAGAAAAGAATGTGATTGGTTTTTTTTTTTTTCTTCCCTTGCAAGTCTTTAAGCAAGCATAACTAATGGCCTTCTGAAATTTTTGCAGAGCCCCCTAGATAAACCGACTTTATAAACCAAGAGTCAGAGGCTTAAGTACAAATGAATACATTGTATGTAGGAAACACACAAGTTTTGCTCTAATAAATGAAATAATACGAGGTTTAGTTAGTAAAATAAATTAGCTTTATTTTGGTGATTTTTTGCATACATAGTTTAGTGCCCTAAGGAAGGTACATTTTAGATATGTTAGAACATGTGCTTTGATCTTACAAACATGAGCAAAGCTCATGAGCCTCTTTCAGAAGGACAATCTGGCAAGGCTTTGTGCTTCCTTGATCAGGAAGGATGCTAACCTTTACGTGGTCAGTGCAATTGTTACAGAGAAGCCTGACATGTCACAGAGTATCAAGTAGTACCACTCTGTGTACGTGCCATGTTTATTTTAGCACAAATGTCAAAGCTTGGATTTAACAGGTGGCCTCTTCAAGGAGGCTTTAGAGCTAAATCTACAGAAATAAATATATAAAGGCTTTTATTCTCTGTCTTTCTCAAAGTGATGTTTCTCACCGACAGCATTTCCATACTCCTCCAGAATGTGGATTTCCTTTATGAAGTTATTTAGCAGAAGCAGAACATAGAACTGTTTCTGGCAGAAGAGCAGGCAAATTTTTGTGTCGTGCACAAGCAGTGCTCTGCTTCTAGAAGTTTAAAGATAATTGAAGTCGACTGTGCCAGGCAGATCTTCTGTTCAGCCTGGCACGTAATCGCTACAGTATTTTCTTAGTCAAAAAATACAATATTGGACTGATCATGGCTTGTGTGTTACAGGAGTCCCATTTAAATGTGCTTGAGTCATTAAATAAGAGTTTGTACTGAATTTTGTGTTTGCTTTGTGAACAGTATCTAGCTGTTTGTTGGGACATTCAAAGGAAGCGCAGCTTCTTCGAAAGTGCTCTAGCTGACTGTCCTGATAAAAATGTACTTAATACAGAACAGTCCTCCACTTTTTCCAGATTGTACACAGTGTCTATAATGCCTTCTGTGGCTTCTGCAGGCAGGACGCGGGAGGCATTGGATTGAAACTTTTTCTCTAAGTCTTCCTTTTTCAGAGGTTTCCTCCAGTGCCCGTAGAACGTATCGCAGCGGTCGCTGATTGTGTTGCCGTCCTGAAGCATGACGCTCACTTCGCAGTAAAGGCTCTCAAAGCTAGGTATGTTATCAGGGGGGTGCTCCAGCTGTGTTTTGCAGAGGAGCTCCCGCAAGGCTGGCCGGTGAACGTTCTCACTGGCGAAGGACTGGACTGACATGCTGCCATCCAGCAAAGCAGAGCATGCAACAAACTGGAAGGAGTGTCGCGCTTCGTGCTCTGAGGTAGGACTGGGTCTGTTCACATATTTGACCTCTGGGACTTTGAGAATGATTTTCTCAATTTTATCAAGGGGGAGCAAGTTGTCGCTGCTCTCCACAAGCTTCCTTCTAACAGAAGATGCTGCATCAGCCACCCAGTGTGTTCCAAGATGAGCAGGAAAGCGTTTGATGGCCACGTCTTGTTGACCCAACAGCCAGGGGTAAGACTGCAAGGTTGGCAGAGTCTGTGGGTTGTAATCTGTATAAAAAGCACCTATCCCCGACTCCATGTCCAAGATCTGTTTGTTTCCTTGAAGGCCCTGGGATGCTAAGCAAGCTGCTTCCAGTCCATGCTTGGCAGCATTGCCAACGTGGAGGGGCTTCGTTTGGGTTGCTGCGTTAGCAAGTGGGGCACCTGCGTAGGAGGCAGCGATAGCCAAGGCGTTTTTACATTTCAGCTGGTCGAGAGCTAGGAGTTTAGCACAAGCTGCTGCACTCCCCATCGTACCAACCACAGTCGGTGGGTGAAACCTGAGAAAGCAAAATCTCTTTATTACTATATTTCAAAAAGTCACCTGAATTCACTATATACACAAGCTTCAATTTCCTTTCACTGCCGTGAAGACGGATTGGACCATAAAGAAATATACATTCAGAATTCATTTGTGATCCTAATGGAAAAATTTGTCACTTTTCTCCAGGAACAAGTTAAACAGGAATAGTACCACTTACAATAGGTCTTCCCCAGAAAGCAACTGAAATGTTAGAATTGCTCATAGTTCAAGGCATACTGAACAGAATAATGGCAAAAGCGTCAGGGTTTACAGTCATCTATAAATTATGTGTAAATAATTTATAGTCATCTATAAATTATTCATATTGGGGGAAGCAAGTTTTGTTATTCTGTACCAGTTTTGCAGAATTGGTAGAAGCACACAGAAAATAGCAAGACGACACCCCCACGGCAGGGGGGTTGGAACTAGATGATCTTTGAGGTCCCTTCCAACCGAAACCATTCTATGACTCTCTGATTCTATAAACCATTCCACATTTCAAGTCTTTCCCCTTAGCACATCCTGTCTTCTCGGGCTCTGCTTTGAGCCCAGCGCCGGTGACTCCATTCTGCTGAGAGCAAGCCACTGTTTGCAAGTGAGGCATAATCGTATGTATTCATGAAAGCCTGAGACCTCTGCTGTTAAATGTTGCCTTTTTGCTGCTGTTTTTAATTAAAAGGGAGATCATTGCCTCCTTCTTGTAAACTGATCGATGCTCTCAAAAAGAAATCTATTTGCTAAGCCGTAAGGAGTCATGTAAGGGTATTTATGTTTAAAATGAACCTTTCCTAAATTTCCAGACAAACAACATAGAAAATATGATTAACTGTGCCATTTGTATTTTAACTGGCATTTTATTAAGTGTATTAACACAGAGGAAAAAAAAACCTTCCACTCAACTTGCTACTTGAAGCATTTCTACGTACCTTTTTGGAATATTCCTGGCTTCGCTGGAGAAGCGCAGCAGCCTGCCTTGCACTTCGATTCCCACATTGAAAGCTAACAGCAGATCGAGGCCTGAGATTTTTCTCTTTTGAGGAAAGGCCTCCGAGAGTGCAATCACGGCAGGGAGCACAGTCCCGGATGGGTGTGTGGCTGGATGCCACGTGTCATCGAAATCCATTGAGTGCACCTAATGGAAAGAGAAGCCTTGAATTGTCATCAGAAATAAACTCTGACTTGGCAATATTGGCTCAGTCAAATCAAATTACTGTAACTGGTATAAAAAAGGACCGAAGAACTAGATTTTCCTTAGGTAGCAAAACTTCAAAAATCTTTCTTTTAAGACCTTTAATCCTAACATGGCTTGACAAGAAGTGGCAGTGCAATACAAATCTTGTCTCAGAGAAGTGTAAATTCTAATTTAAGTTGCACCAGTCTAGAACCAGCATGACAATGAACTTCTTTCCTACAATAGGCTTTTGCTGCTTTAATTAGACTGGTATAATTAAAGCAGCAGTTCTAGGTCCACCATGTGAGTGGTGAGTTTTCACTTCCCCAAAACCAGTATATAAACATAATGAAATTACTTCCCCAGCGCTGCAACTGATGCTGCCATTAAGGCTCACACCATTAAAGCGGTAGCAGTCAAATTCATACAGCTAACTGAAAGTTCTATCAGAACAACTTCTCCGGTGCAAGCATCCATGGGCAGCAAGCAGGAGCCTGCAAATGTAGATCAGACTTTATCCTCAATTTTCAGCACATCAAGACAAGATCCATCACATGAGGAACCAGACGCCGTGGGGTTGCTGGCAGCAGGAGAAAGCTACAATCTGAAAACTGGGATGAGCTGCTTTGACCTGGAGAGTCTCCAGAGAGAGGAGATTCTCTTTCTTTCCTATGTCCGGAGCTGCTCGGGAAGATTTCGGGCATTCCCAGCATGACATAGGGCTGCTGTTGTGGTAGCAGACTGCTCCCAGAAGTGCACTCACTATTTGCAGTGTACTGCTTGTTGGAAACCCCCTCAAAGGTTTGAAACCCTCCAAGGAATTCAGAACATCAGGGACAGTGTTCTTAATCGCATAAATAATGCCTCAAAAGCTGAACTTTCATGCCTATTCACCCATGTCTTACTTGAGAGCAAACTGGGAAGGTGGTCAGGATCCCCAGCCCTCAGGTCTTGTAATACTGGGAATACACACTTCTGAGGACTGTCTTCCTGAACAGGCAGAAGAAAACCCAGTCCCTGCCTTGAACTTTGATACCAGCTGGGAAGATGCCCCGCAGTGTGGGATAAGGACCGTTGTGCCCAGTAAGTTGCGTTCCTAGTGTCTTCAATAAGCGCTTAGAATTGACCTGTGACCAAGATGCAATCTGAAATGATCGTATACTTGCTAACAGCTAGATTTGAATATCACACAGGCTACTAGGAGCTGAGAGGTAGCAGATCTCATTTCCAAGGTAATTTTCTCTACACTGGAAATGAGGAGGCAAATTGGACCTCTGATTTTGTTGTCACACTGATTTAGATATAGGCTTAATTTTATCATTTCCTTGGTTGGTCACCTTCCTTAGTTTTGCATAATTGCCAAATTTGTCTACTCCACCTCTGGCACACCTTTTGATTTCAAATGGTTTAAGCCTAAATCTGAATTTAGACAAATGTCTGAGGAGTCAGTTATTGCTCTATTGACAAAGTACGTGTCCAAAATATATAATTGGCTTTTGCAAACTGCAGACTGAAGACTAAATTGCCTTGTGATACGTGTGTATGTACATGTGCATCTCTCTG